CCCAGCCTGCACATGCCCCAAATTGAGCACAGCTTCTAGAGCTGGTCTCAGGAGAGACAGGTAGGGAATTTCTCGTGCTTGGGGATTGGCTGCCCCTAGTGAGGCAGGTGGAAATCATTTCTGACTTAAGGCCAATCATTAGATTACCCAATACCATTCTCTCGGCCATTTCTGTCTAGCCAGGATATCCCAGATGTAGGGGACTTTAATCAAACCTTCAGCCTATGCTAGTGGTATTCCCTAAGACTTTGGGATATTTCTGAGACACTCCCATGCCCAAAGATGTTTTGTCCCTAACTTACTGACCCAGACACAATACCCAACCTCATCCTCTCTTTCCACCAAAAGCTCATGTTCAAGGACACTTATGGGAATAAAACTCTTTACCCAAAGAGTGGGTGGTCACAGAGGTTCCACGTGTTCTACAGAACCCACACGTTAAAATACATTTACGTGGGGCGCCTGGGTGGCTCAGTGGATTAAAGCCTCTGCCTTCAGCTCGGGTCATGATCCCAGAGTCCTGGGATCGAGCCCTGCATCGGGCTCTCTGCTCAGCGGGGAGCCTGCTTCCTCCTCTCTCCTCTCTCTCTGCCTGCCTCTCTGCCTACTTGTGATCTCTGTCTGTCAAATAAATAAATAAAATCTTTAAAAAAAAATACATTTACGTTCCCTCTTTTAAAAATCCTGTCAAGTTACTCATCCTCTCTCCCGTTTCTTCCCATTCAGCACTCAGCCCCCCACCTTCTTGCTTTCACTCGCCCTTTTTACTCCACCCTCTCAAGAACGGCAGTCAAAATCTCAAATGCCAATAGGGAGCGGCTGGTAAGTGTGGGTTGAAAAGGTGGGGCGTCTTGCCACAGAGAGGGCCAGCCCACCTCAAAGCTTTCAGGTTCCAAACATTTTAAGCACGATGTCCCAATAAATACTTTTTCAGGCATTTTGACCCAAAGACCGCCAGACCTTCAGCTCTATAGTTTCCCTCTTTGCCACTGCCACCCAAGAATGAGCCAACGGTACCCCCGAAACTGGGGTTAGCCAGGACTGTCCCCTACCACGCAGTGTTGTGAAGCCGTGCCAAGGGGACCTATGCATTGGTATGATCGATCCCTCCGTGAGATGCGTGAGTTTAAGTCGGCCTGTTTCCAGGTGAGCGTGAGCTCAGGAACCGGATGGTCTGGGCTTCCCCAGGCTCATCAGACTGTGTATTCTTCTTCTTCTTTTTTTTTTTTTAAATCATTATTGCAGCAAAATAGAAGTAATGTAAAATTTACCATTTTACTCACTTTCCATTCGGTAGCCCTTGTAACCAACACCATACTCATCTCCAGAACTTTGTCATCACCTCATAGTGCAACTCTACACCCGCTAAGCACTCAGTCCCCTAGCCCGCTTCCCCCTACCCCTGCTGGCCACGGTCTACTTTCTTGATGAATCTGACTGCTCTCGGTACCTTATATAAGTAAAATCATAAGGTATTTATTTGTCCTTTGTGTCTGGCTTCTTTCACTTAGCATAATGTCTTCAGAGTTCATCCCTGTTGTAGCCTGAACTTTTATTTTTTTTACTTTTTTTTTTTAAGATTTTATTTATCTATTCGACAGACAGAGATCACAAGGAGGAAGAGAGGCAGGCAGAGAGAGAGAGGAAGAAGCAGGCTCCCTGCTGAGCAGAGAGCCCGACGCGGGGCTCGATCCGAGGACCCCGGGATCATGACCTGAGCCAAAGGCAGAGGCTTTAACCCACTGAGCCACCCAGGTGTCCCTGTAGCCTGAACTTTATTCCTTTTTGAGGCAGATTAAGATTTCTGTATACGTATATACCACATTTTATTCATCCACTGATGGACATTTTTGGGTTGTTTCCCCTTTTCGGCTATTGGGAATAATGCTGCAAAGGACACTGGTGTGCGAAATACCTGAGTTCCTGCTTTCAGTTCTTTGGTGTATATACCCAGAAGTAGAATTGCTAGGTCAAATGTTTAATTTTTTGAGAAACCGTGCCTGTGTATCCTTGAATAGGTCACAGAACCACTCTAAGCCCCATTTGTAAAATGAAGATAATAACAGCTCTACCTTATTAGAGTGGTCTGAGAATTCATGAATGTCCGTGTACAGCATTTAGCTCAGATTGGGCCCATCACCCCGTGTTCAGAGATGTTCCAGCTCAGAGTCCTCTGAAATTAAAGTACTCCAACTAAATGATCTCCAAAGTCACTCCCGGCTCCAAAAATCCACGATGCCACCATCAAATTATTTTCCTGGTAGAGAAGCCGGAGCTCTCAGTATATACATCAGGGGAACACGGTCTTCATGGTTCCCACAAAAATCCACCCTAGCCAAGATGGCCCAGTTTTCATAACTCTCTCCTTGGAATTTGCTAACACATGTCATTATCAACCAACCTCGAATTTTTTTCTGGCCGCTCCACTTCCCCCCTCTTTCTTTCCACACCCCCTTTCTCAGCTGGCTGCTCCTGCCCGCTCAATATCTGGGCTTCAAATTATCTTCCCTGGTTGCCTTTAGGTTCTTTCGCCGCAAGCTAATGTCTGTTGGAAGCAACACTTGCAAAATTATCCATATTACGGTTTCGTTCCCCAGAGCCACATATTTTAAATGAGTTTTTCCTCTTCGGCAGGATCCTGCTGGCAGAGCTCCTGCTATTGGTGAAGTCAGTGGAGTCGGGTTTCTCCCCCACATGCTGTTTATGTCGGGTTATCACTTGGCCTCAAGTTTGCATTCTCACCCTCCACCAGGAGTCCCGTGCCTGTGAGCAACAACCTCCCGTGCCATCCCAGCGGATGTTTACGTCTCAGCAAACCCTCTCGAGAAAAGTAAGGAGACGAAATCTGCTTTCGGGCTTTTTCTAGAGCCGGCCAGATTCGGCATTCCAGCCGGGAGTGGACTCACTCACTATTTGAGGAATTATTTTCCTTCTCCACTTCTATTCCTCCGTCTCCCCCTCCAAGGGTGAACTTACAACAACCGACCTCTCCTCACTAGACATGTGAAGTTGGAGCACCTGGGTGGTTCAGTGGGTTAAGACACTGCCTTTGGCTCAGGTCATGATCTCAGGGTCCTGGTATGGAGCCCCACATCGGGCTCTCTGCTCATCAGGGAGCCTGCTTCCCCCTCTCTCTCTGCCTGCCTCTCTGCCTACTTATGATCTCGGTCAAGTAAATAAATAAAATCTTAAAAAAAAAAAAAAAAAGACACGTGAATTTGCTGGAAGTTGCTCCCCAGTTCGGTCAGCAGCCTGACTGCCAAGAAACCAGTCACCCTTCCCGAAGCTTTTCCATAGCAAAAGGTAAAAGGGATTCCGGGGTTAGGAGTAAAGGCTTTTTTCCAGATCCTGGGCAGGTAAGCTTTGTTCTTTAACTTGTATGGGTTTGAGTCATCTCACCTGCCACGTTACAAAAAAACAAAACTAAACTAAAAAAAAAAAAAAAAAAAAAAAAAAAGAAGCAGGGGAGCGTTGTCGTAGCCAGGAGAAAGCTAGTCCTCAGAGCTCTGGTGCTCTGGGAAGGAACCAGCCTCCCCTGGACTTGGGCTAGGGCCACCATGCCCAGGAGGCTTGGTTCCAGAAGGCAGAGATGAAACAGGAAGGACTTTCCTAATGCAAAGTCCTCAACCTACCCCGAGGTGAGCATCTAGGTTTACGGATTATCAAGCCCCTCATGGGCTCCTTCTTCCTTCATTATTTATTGTCTGTGGGCTGCTCCAGACACCGTGCAGGCAAAATCAAACGCAACACTCCAGCTTTCGAGGGAAAAGATTCCACCTGGGACCAGCAGGCTATAGGTACATGGAAAAGTATTGACCAAAATGAGTTTGTTGGGTTTTGCACACCCCCCCATTTATCTTGGCTTAAATTTAGTTCATCATGAAGGGCTGTGCCTATGGTTGAGGCCCCCATCCATACAGCAGGCTACTAATTTTAGGCCCTCACCACCCCTTTGACCTGGTTTCATTCTGGGACGTGCACCAGCTACTTGCAGCCACGCAGCACGTCCCTCTCTAGAATGCAGGTGACGAGTAACCGGCACAGAAGTCTAGTAGCAAATGCTCACAGGCTCCCTGCTCCTACCAAAGCTGCTCTGTTTTGTCACACCTGCACGTATCAGCCTGTCCTTCCCTGATGAGGTCCTACCCACCTCCTGACCTCTTGCCCCGCAGCAACCCTATAAGGACAGATGCTCTTAAGAAGTCCCTGCTTCCTTGCCTGCCAGCAAGCCATGACAAGACCAGCCTCCCATCCCCTCCTTGAGCCAAGAGGCCCCCAAAAGCCCTGGTCGCATTTCAGTCTCACTCGCCCAGGGAGCCCATCCGACATGGGGTTTGCGGCTCAGAAAATGATAGTGAAAAACATACAAGCCAGAGCTCTTTCTAAACAAACTCTGTGTGTCCCCAGAAACTGCTTGCACTTTTAACCTCCGCTTTCTCTTCTTCTTTCTCATTCTTATGGGAAGGAAGTGCCTATGTGCTGAGCCGGTCAATCTCCCTTGCTGGGCTCTGTCCTGAAGGGCGTGACAAGCAGCGTTTCACCAAGCAACCTTTACCGGGAGGGACCCCCTTGCTGCCAGCCTTGCTTTTGATTGGTTTCTTTCCTTCCCGCTTCACCTCTGGGGGGGCTCCTTCCAGGGGGAACTTCTCCCTTTTGTCAGCCAGAGTGGGTGAGTCAGACGGGATAGATTCCCAGAGGTCCGTCTGTGCTTTCCGAAGATAAAACGAAAACCAGCAAAGTAAGCTGGAGCTGGTACCCCTTCCTGAGGCAGTTCAGTCCCCCAAGTTGGGATGATAGAACGGTGTCACATTCTCCAGGAGGTCAGACGCTCCAGCACCCCCAGCCAAGCCCCCAAGATTAGACTAGACTAGAAGAAGAGCTGGCGGTCACCCTCCCACCCCCGCCCAGCGCCATCCCTTGGGGCGCCCCAGGCATGCTCCCCACCGGACCCAGGAGAGAAATGCCCCTGGGAGGGGGGCCCTAAACGCTACTCACGGTACCTCTAGGCAAGGATGAGATGAGAAGGAGCTGCAGAAAAGTGAGCCCCAACTGCGTCCAGCAGCCCAGCTCCATCGTTTCCTAGCCGGTGCCCCGATGAGCGACTGCTGCGGAGGGACCGGAGGGGCCGCGGGAGGCCAGGGGCCGGCGGCTCTTACACGGAACTCCCCAAGCCCCAGCTGAGCGGGAGCTCGGGTTTCAGCTCGCCAGGCTCTCCCATCCTCATCGGAGGGGAACCACCTTCAGCCAGAGCGACGTCAGCCCAAAACCTCTCCTCTCTGCCGCCTTAACCCTTGCGGGGCCCGGGAGGTGTGGCCACGCAGGGAGGCCCCCGGGCTGCGGCTGGAAGGGACGCCCGGGGCAGGAGGCCAGCCGGCTGGGACAGGAGGAGCCGGCAGCACCTTGGCTGGGGGCAGAGGTAGGCGGGGCTGTGGCGCCGCTCAGGTGAGGCCGGAAACCCAGCCCCACCCCCACCCAGAGGAGTCCTGCCTGGGATGGCACTCTGAGGCTGTTAAGGTCACGGCTTGGGTGGGCGGGGCTTCCACCTCAAGCATCTAACCTCAAGCATCTAACCACCTTCCACCTCAAGCATCTAACCCAGGTGAGCACAATTTGGAAACCCTCCTCTTTGCATCTGTAGGCATCTTCCCATGATGCCCATCATGGTGTGGTCAGCAGCATAAATAGATCCTGTGCACATGCCAGGCAGAGTATAAGGGATAAAAGAACACCCAAGACACTGCCTCTGTCGTGACAGTGGCCATCTAGGCATAGGGACAGCAAATGGAATCTTGAATAACAAGAAAGGATGCTTATTCAAAGGATAATAGCCAATTTTTTTAAATCAGTTTCTCCGTGCCAGGCATTTAAGTATCTTACATGCATCAACTCATTTAGTCCTCATAATAAACCGCTATCATCTCCATTTTACAGATAGGGAAACTGAGTCACTGCGCTTTCAATAGTTCATCCACAGTCTCCGTGTAAGTAAGTAGTAGAGCCAGGATTTGAATGCAGATCTAAGGTCTATCGTCCTAGCCACCAGTCTCTACCATGTCTTAGGATGCTGTGACTATGGCATTTAATCACTTGTACACGTTCAATGATGGTATTATCCACACTGAAACAGACTCAGAGATGAAGTGACTTGCTCAAGGTCCCTCAGCCGGAAGTGCCAGAGCAGAGTTCACAGCCAGGTCTAACTCAGGGAAGTGCCGGGGTTTCAGGCCATGCTTGGTCCCAGTTTGTATTGTCCCATGAAGAACAAAAGTTGGGAGAAGTGGATGATATTCAGGCCTGGGGCAGTGGGAAATTTACCTAAACTGGGGAAGCTTCACCTGGAGCCTGAGAGAGAGGGGATCTCAATCCAGGGAAGGGTTTGAGGAGGCCTTTCTAGGAGGAAGGACTGAATTGGGCCAGTGCCACTGGGAAATGATGAGTATTTACCTGTGTATATTACAATTTTATGTGTATTCTTGTTCCCAAAGGATCCATGGCAGCGTGTACCATTAAAACGCATTTTAAACAGTTTTGAGAAGAATGTAAGTATCAGAACAAAAGCCAACACAAGAGGATAGATAATATGTATAGTTTGGATGAGGCAGAGGGCAGGAAAAGAGGAAGCAAGTGGTTACACTGTTTGGGTTTTATTCTGTCTTGGAATGAGGGGCTCTGGTAGTCTAGGAGCAGCGCGTTCTGGGCCCAAAGCAAAGATCTAGGAAGAAAAGTCATGTTGGCATCCAGACCGAGGGATGGAGGAGGCCAAGGCTGGCACTAAGAGCACCCCTGAGACCGCTGTCAGTGGCCTGAACCATAAGCAATGGAGTGGAAGGGGAAAACGGTGGGAGAGACTTAGGGAAGGTAGAACTGCCAGGGCTCAGGACAGACTGGATAGGCAGGGGCCTGGCATAGATGCTCCTCTCAGAGAGAAATTCCTGAATGTCAGCCACGCCTCTGGGGCCCATCTCAGAGAAGTGACTGTGAGCTTGGACTCGGCCGTCAATGACCCATATTCAAAGCCGCGATTCACCACTTTCTGACTCTATGACTGTGAGATCATAGAAAATATATGCTGGTCTCTGCCTCCAGCTCCTGGCACTGAGCTCTTGACACCCTTCTATTCCCGGGTGATACGAGTATCTTTGTCCTAATGAGGTGACTTCAGGTGGGGGCTGGTCATTAGAAAGTACAAGTCATTAGAAGCTTGGAATTTTTAGCGCTACACCCCCCCATTCTCTTGAGAAGGGAGAAAGGCTAAAAATGGAATTAATGGTGAGTAATGTCTCCCATGAGGAAGCCTCCATAAAAATCCCTATAGTGTAAGGTTTGGAGAGCTTCCACATTCCATGTATCAGTGGGATGATGTACCCCAACTCCATGGGGGTAGAAGCATGGGACTCTCAGACCTCCCCTACATATCTCTTCATCTGGCTGTCCATTTATATCCTTCATCACTTCCTTTAATGAACTCGCAAATGTAAGAGATTCCCTGAGCTCTGTGAGCCCTTCAAGCAAGTCACCGAATCCAAGGGGGAGGATGTTATGGGACGCTCTGTATTGTAGCCAAGGGGGTAACTTGAGGACCTAGCACTTGAAGTTGGTGTCTGAAGTGGGACAGTCTTGTGGGACTGAGCACTTGACCTGTGGGATGTGACATCCTCTCCAGAAACTGTCAGAATTGAGTACAACTGTAGGACACCCAGCTGGTGTTAAAGACTCGCTTGGTGGGGGGAAAAAAAATCACACATATCAGAAGTGTCCAAAGTGAGTGGGGTAGAAATATGAGAGTATGGAATACACCAGGAGAAAGAAGGACAGGGGCTTTCGGTTGTTTTTTGGTCTGTTTTTTGTTTTTTGTTTTGTTTTTTCCCAATACAATGACCTAAACCAAGCTAACTAACGCTCTCAATCTCAGTTTTCTCATCTGTAAAATGGAAATAATCGTCAAACTTTGAGACAGGCGAATTTAAGGAGACTATGTACATAATAGGGCCCTTAGCACACTGCCTAACTCATACTAAATGCTCAATAAATATTATATGTATTATGAGCCTGAGTCTGACACTATATGGCACGGGCCTTCTTCCTCACCCACAACTTCCCTATCCAGGTGAAAACTGATTAAAATTAGCACAAAGAATAGCCTCTAAAAGGCAGGAAAATACCAAAGGGCAACATATCTGCGGGTTGGAGGTCAGAGGTGAGAAGAGGGGAGGTTCATTTTATGGCTGGCCAAACAGCTCTAGTCCTTTGGTGATGGGCCTGGGGATGTGGTGACTTAGTTTCCAAATACTGAGGTCTTAGAGCTTCTCAGGAGTCTGTTCCTCCCATCAGCTGACATTACCACTTCCTTCTTCCCTCATCTCCATCCCCCCAACCTCCCACCCCACCCCCTACACACATACACAGCCACTTATCAAAACAGATTAACCAGCAGCCTCATTCCTATAGCAACTATACCTCACCAGGCTGGGACTCTAGGTGATGAAGCTAAAGAAGTCCCCAGTGCCAGGTCTTTGTTCTTCCAGGCTTAGGAACCTGGAAACAGCCCCTCACTCCTCTTTCTGTAATGCCCACAGTAGTATAATTGTTCCCTGCTAATTTGCTGTCTAATTTAGGTTTACGAATTTCCTAGAGCTGCAGAGTCTGGAAAGGAACTCTCAAAAAGAAGCAGAACGTATTTCTCTGGGGAACACAAAGCCCTGATCCAATATTACCTTGTTGAACTTCACAATAAACCCAGGTTCACAGAGGGAGAGGGAAGCCATGACTATAAGAGAGGAAAGTCAGGAGTTTGCCTGAGGCCAAACGGCCCTACACAAACTTCGATTTTCCTACACAAGTTTAGTTTCCTCTCTTCCTATTATAATCAACTCAATTTCTCATATCGACAGAGTTGAGTATTGCTCTACATCAGAGGTTCTTAACCTGGATCACATGGGGTCTCTCATGAGGGAGTTTTTGTAGGGTCTTCAAACCTCCGCAAATTATACACAAAATCCTGCATGCATTGTTTTGGAGTAAGAGGGAGCCGTAGCCTTCTTCAAAGTCTCAAAAGGATCTGCAAACTCCCAACTTATTTTCAATCACTGGTGTTCATAAGCTGACATTGAAAAGTTGACAAAATATTCGTTAGATTTGGGGAAAGTGGCTTTGTATGCACAGCGGTTGTGTTTAGGCTACAAACTACACAGCGGATGTTTGAAGGACTGGCCCTCCCCGTGACTTTCCCCCACCATTTCTGCCTTAAACACGCATGCTTTGGACCACACCGGCTCCTGGTGAATCGAGCTGGAGCACTTACTACCCGTGTACACCTGGGCAGGTAATCTCACCCATGATGGCCTCAGTTTCCTCATCTGTTAAGCGGGAAGAATAATGGAGCCTGCCCCCAGAGGGTTGGAGTCAAGCACTCAGAACAGTGCCTATAACACACCAAGCACTCAGTAAATGTTGGCTATTTTTATTACCCTTCGCTCCCCCTCCTGCCCTTCTCTTGGACCCCTACCTCTGGCAGAAATAAATCACCAGAAAGGTGTGGGTGAAAAGGGCAAAGTGCCGTGCTGAGAAGTAGGGGATGATCCTGGAATGAAGAATTCTCTGCTTACCATCAGCACTCAGAAATCAACAGTTGACTGTAGTAGATGAAGTCATCCATTTCACGACAAGTCGCAATACCCACTCATTTTCACTCGAAAGGATGAGGCACTCCAGCAAAACCTGACCCTTCTTCTGTCCCACCCGGGAGGCTGCTCGCCTGTGAACACACAGGAGGAAACAGCAGGGAAGGCTGTCTTGTGCGAGCCAACAGCGCCCCAGTCTCCAAGCTCCAACTTCAGATCAGTGGCGAGCGGTAGCCATAGAGCCGGGAAGGGCAGAAGAAGGACCACTGGGGCGGACTGGTCAGCAAACCTGATAGAAACATCTCAGCCTAATGGGTAATTAAGTTTAGTTTTCATCAGCTGTGCAAAACACAAAAGTTCAAGTCAACCAGGGCCAGAGACGGAGAGGAGTAAGTCTGCAGGAAAGACAAAGGGCCCTTCCCCCGGAACCTGCTAGAACTTGCCCACCATGGAAGTCTCCAGCGCTAATGAATCCCGGCTATTCACCTACACGAGGAGCAATGATG